GGTGGTGTGATGGTGATGGTGGTGATGGTGGTGATGGTGATGGTGATGGTGGTGACATGCACCCTCCAGCTCCCTTTCAAATTCATGTCCTCTTTTTCTTTAATAGTTGTTATTGTTGTTGTGGTGGTGGTGATGGTGGTGGTGGTGATGGTGGTGGTGGTGGTGGAGGTGGTAGTGACGGTGAGAATGCATACACCACCACGTGAGTGTGGAGGTTGGAGGACAACCTATGGGAATCAGTTCTCTCCTTTCAGCCTGTGAGCCCTGGGGATCAAACTCAGATCTTCGGGCTTGGTGGTGAGTGCCTTTATCAGCTGAGCCATCCCACCAGCGCTCCTATGGGACTATTGTAACTGTCCAGGTGGGATGTCCCGAACATCCCACGAACTTACAGAAAACAGCATGTTCTTCTTGTCCTGGTTCACGGCTCTGGGGTCGGGGATGGCATCTGTGTGCTTGGTCACAGACACGGATTCCCCTGGTGACAGGATGAGATATGAGAAACCTGTAGACAAGCCCATCACCTAGACCCACCCCACTCTCCACGAGCCCTTGGGTCTCACCTGTCAGGATGGACTGGTCTACTCGAAGTGTGGTGGACTTGATCTCAATGAGGCGGAGGTCAGCAGGCACCTTGTCTCCCACTGCACAGGGAGAAAGGCATGGCTGAGAGTGGTTTGGGGCCCTAAGCCCAGCAAAGCCAGAAAGGCTCCCAGAGGCAAGGCTAAGACTAGAGGCAGGGCCCTGAGCTGCGGTCCTTCAGGCAGATCCCAGCCACTCTGGCCAGTCTCTGGATCTGTCCAACAGGGTTTTGGAAGGTTCTAACAGTTACTCCTCCATAGTGCAAGATAGAAGCAAAGAGAGAAACAAGGCTCCCCGCTGTCACATAGTGAGAGGAGAAGGGCCTGGACATACCTGCCACCTCCACAATGTCCCCAGGGACGATGTCCCGGGCTCGGATCCTCTGTACACCTCTTCGGTCAGCACGGAACACCTTACCCATCTCAGGCTCATACTCCTTCAAGGCCTCAATGGCACTCTCGGCATTGCGTTCCTGCAGAATGTAAGTGGGCAGGTGGTCTCCCTTTGCTGCCCCAGGAGGCCTCCTCATTGACAAAAAAAAGCCTTTGGGACTAGGAGGGGCCTGAAAGCAGGAAGCACACCTAACAGATGAGAGCCCCCAGGGACTGGCCCACCCCCACCACCGCCCACCTGCCACACTCCCACGATGGCATTGGCCACCAGGATCAGCATGATGACGAGGGGCTCCACAAAGGCGGTTGTGGTCTCTTCACCCTCCTCAAACCAGGCCAGGACCTGCAGGGACAGAGCTGGTCAGCCGGGCTGTGCTGGGGGTTCCCTGAAATGAGATCTTTGCCTTTTATACCCTGAATTCTGTCTGCTCCCTGGGGAATCCTGGGCTTAGAGAGGAGGCCTTGGTGGAGGAAGGATACCCACCTTATAGATGTGTAGCCACAGCCCTCATCCCACCCAAACCAGCCTCCAAAGGGACAGAGGCAGCTGGAAACCCCTTTCTGCCTCCCCTGATTTCACTGTGGTCCTCAATCAGCAGCCCCAGATGCACCCGGGAACTTGTTAGAACCGAAGTTCTTGGGCCAGCTCAGACATCCGAGCAGAAACTGCTAACAAGCCTCCATGATTGTGGTGAGTGCTCCGAATAAGGGTCCTCCAGTCAGAGAAACACCTTCCCACCACAGAGTCTCAGCCTTAATGGGACTCAGGTCAAGTCCTTCGTCCACCTCTTAGCCCAACTGTGGGCTTGTCACCTCTCTCCAAAGTCCTCAGTGTTCCCATCTGTCCTTTAAAGGGTAAAGGTATCACTTAGGCTTTGCCATTTTAGACATCTGCATCGATGGGGTTTTTGTTTGTTTGCTTTTCTTTTCTTTTGTAAGAGTTCCAGTCATTCACAAGGACAGTGACCAGAACATCCAACTACCACTGGATGGGAAAAGCCAGTCCCAGCCAGTACATTCTGAGTACTGAGTACTGGGCTCTACATTCTGAGTCACCAAGATGAATTCTCTTCCCCAGGAGCAGGAATCATACCTGCCTGCTTTGTATTAGCCTTGTATTTGCTGCTCAGCCTTGGAAGACAGGCATTGTCTCCCTGCCCACCCCCAACTCTGGGCCCAGGACCTGTGGTCCAAAAGTGGTCCAGATAGCAAGAATGAGGAAGGTATAAAGAAAGAAAAGGCAAGACAGACACTAAAGTCTGTTTGAGGTACCTAAGAAGCCTTCAAGGGAATTTGGCCTGAAGACACATTCGATTGTCACTAGAAGGTGCTGCTGGCATCTGACAGGGAGGCCAGGGATGTTCAGCATCTCAGACCACCCCATCCAGAACCATCAAGTTCAAGAGGGCTGAGGTTGACAGACCCTGGCTAAGGCAGGGACAGGCCAAGCAGGTTTGGGATTTTGAAATCTCCCTGAACCAGGGCGTAAGTGGGTTGAAGGAATTCAGGTGGGAGCCAGGAGTTCAGTGTGGGACAGCTGAAGACTGAGGAATGTCCCTGACTAAGAGGAGAGCAGCCAAGGGCTCTGTGCACTGGCAGGACCTGGCTCACAGGGTGGCAGGGAAGGCCTTACTTACAAAGGAGACCAGGGCTGCCAGCAGCAAGATGCGTACCAAGAGGTCCTCAAACTGCTCCAGCACCAGCTCCCACAGGGACTTCCCTGGAACAGGAGAGTGTGTGAGGCCCAGGCCCCTGGTCATCCCTCCCACACTACCCCCATCACTCTCTCCGCTCAGAACTGGGGACTTTTAGGAACCCTCCCCCTGGTGATCAGAGGGAAAGCCCCAAGTCCTGAAGGGTTCAGCTGAGGGCTCAACAAGACCCCTGTCTGGGATTGGGGTGTTGCAGCCTGAAGGTACCTAGCTCAGGGGTATTATAGCCTGTAGCCTCCCCAAGCCATGCTGCCTCACCTTCCTCAGTAGGAAGCTCTGCAGGATCCAGGCAATCACAGGAACCGGAAGAGGCAGGGAAAAAAGTGGTTAAAAGGGGGGGCT